AAAATCTGGTGTTGGGTGAATAGAAAGGGGGGGGGGGGGGAATCCGTGCGGGGAGCCGTGAATGACAGTGAATAGTCTCTGCAGGAGAAGCTGTGAACTGAGTGTTCTGCGGTATGTGATCCCTCCGTTCTCGATCTATAGTGCCGGTGTATGACAGCTGCATTGTCACATGCCGGCTCTAAGTATTAGGAAAACTACATTTTACTCTCCCAATACTTCTCCTTTAGGGTAGATCTAAATGGGATTGTACAATCAGATTGCATAGTGTTGGCTCACATGGTACATAAAATAATAAATATAATGCACGTCTTGTAACCTACATGTAACAGAACTGATATCTTTTACAACTGATGTTACCAGAAGGAGTAAGTCGCTTTTCTTGTTATGATTTATTGAAAGAAGTAGATTTCTTTTTATGTGATTGGTGTATTCCCACTTCGTGCTTAACCTGCGGCCCTCTGGTACTTGTTGTGTGGCTCTTGGACCCCAGCATTCAGTAGTTACATAGAAGATATATGGTTGAAAAAAAGACACAGGTGCATCAAGTTCAATGAGTGTGTGTGTGAGATTTATGTGTTTGAGTCAGAAAAAGCATAAAATAAAAACACAAGAATGGGCCGAGCAGCGGGAGCTTTGACTTGTGACGGATCTGTAATGGCAGTGTTCTCTAGCAGTCTCGTGTAATGTTTTCATTCCTGAACTGTACTTGTAGCGTGTCCACAGTGTCTATTGTCTCATAAGTGTCATTTCTGCCAGTCTTCTGTAGCATTACATATTATTTGTGGCCCCTTGGTGACCTCAGGGGCCAGAGTTGAGATTCCCCGTACCTCGTAAGTTGACAAATGGTTGTCTATTCCTTAAATGCATCCCTTATGTCTACAAGGGTCACAATACATGTTACAATCTGGCCCTACAATCTTTGTATAATTCACTTTAGATCTGCCAAATCTGATGGATAGTTCAGGTCGGTTTATATCCATTAAGGCAGGCCCTTGCACTACATAGTAATTGGTAAATCTGAAAGAGATTGTACAATCAGATTGTAATGTGTGGTGGTGAGCTTAAATGGTGACCATACATGTCAGTTTAAAGCTGCCCATACACCTTACAACCATCGCACGACTTTTGTTGTGCGATGGTTGTAAAGTGATTAAAATTTCGTACGATCTGCCTATCTTGGACAGGCAGATCGTACTTGCGATCATCGCAAGCCCTCCCCGCTGGTAGGGCACACCGGTCCGTGCGGCATTCGTCTTCCGAGCACGCCACCAACCCACCGAAAATCGGATGATTTTGGCAGGTTTTCCAGCGTGCTCGGAAGACGAAAGTCGTGCCACTTTACAGTAGAAGTGGCCGCACGCTGCCCATACACCTGCCGATTATCGTACGATCACAGGATCATCCGCGATTATCATACAATAATCGGCAGGTGTATGGGCACCTTAACCCTACAATCTTTGTACAATCATCTTTCGATCTATCAATACTATGTCAACTAACCACTCAACCACGTTCTCAACAATTCATCCCCACACAGCTACCTCCTCATGTATCACTTCCCCCTCAAAATTCACTCAGCCTCATAGTTGGAGCCGACGTGTGACAATGAAACTGTCACAGGTCGGCTCAATAGATCGGGAAGTGAGCGAACACATACCGGGCGCTCGCTCACTTCTCAATCATCTCCCTGCTGCATCTCCCCTGTTATATTTTTTTCACTCAGCCTGTGGTCTGAACAAAAAAATCTGTCTTTCAATATTAATAACTGTGGATGAAGGAATCCACCGGTGTTTCCATTGTATTGTGACAGTGGCTGCCGTTTGCTGTCAGAATACCTGAAGGAATCTTGCAGCTGATTGGCTACACGCTCTGTTCAGCCGAAGAACAAGAAAACCGGCTCCTTCGATCTTCCGATTTGAGGCATGCCGGGCGGAAGGCAGCCAACAGGGGCACCCAGTGCGCAGGTTTTGTCCAGTTCATGAAAAACAGCTGAAATTGGCATAGTGTATGGCCAGCTCCCAGCAGGCCCTCGCACTACATGTTTTTTGCTAGATCTGAAGGGGAATTGCACTCGGATTGTAACGCTTGCGCTCTGCCTATGGGTAGACACAGAGAAGTTGTACAATGTACCTGCACTTGGAGCTGACAATACTCTTGCACTTGACTTTCAGTTTAGAATGACAGAAATGTGTTGTATATGTGAGGTTGTGGTCTGCAGAGACAAACCTGTAGTCATCTGTTATGAGCACTCCGAGTACTCCTAGTGTGTGAGTCTGATCACGCGTGTATTGGCCCTATTGCATGTTTCATCGTTTGGGTTGTTCTGTATAGCAGTACAGCTGGTGATGGTCATGTACAATATCAATAGTGAATCCTGACTGATGGCTGTGCTTTCTTGTGGAATGATCTGGTTGTAATGTGACAGTAGCATTACCAGCACAGTGCACTCTTCTGACCATGTTACACCCATATTAAGGGGGTGTAACATTCCCCAACTGCCCCCCCCCTTGCCTGAATGGTGGGGGGTTCCCCTCCCTGCGGGTTTCTATTCAGATTTGAATTCGGCACAAATAGGGACCTGTGAACAGAAAAGTCACCACGGCAGAAGTCCATTGATTTAGTTCCTCCAGCCCCATAACCGAAATTCTGTACCTCCATATTGACCGGGGACTGGAGGAATAGTCTGCAGCAGCCTGTACATTGCACCCAACATCCACTGAGATGCTTTGCAGGCAGCAATCCAAAAAACGATTTTGTTTTTTCTTTGATTAAGTTTTGTGCATTGACAGTCCTTCTAAAAGGTGGCCTAGGCCTTTAGAGTACACGTTTGATTGGTAGCCCAGCTTTTCAAGAATTGCTTACCACGTTTTATATCCTCTGGCATTGTGC